GAGTGAGTGAGTGAGTGAGTGAGTGAGTGAGTGAGTGAGTGAGTTAAGAAGTGATTGAGTGAGTGAGTAAGTGAGTGAGTTAGTGAGTGAGTGAAAAAGTGAGCGAGTGAGTGAGTGAGTGAGTGAGTGAGTGAGTGAGTGAGTGGGTGAGTGAGTGATTGAGTAAGTGAGTGAGTGAGCGAGAGATAAGATGAGCATTGGGAGCTTCTAAAAGACATTGACGAGATCAGCTGTGCAGCTCAAATAGAGTAAACAGGTGGGCCCATTATGTCAGGCACAGGCGCAGTGAAGCAAAGCTCTGAAGAGATAATGGGTGATAGGTTGACATTGGCGTTCCTGGCCTCGTCACAACTGTCCGTGCGCTATTGATACGGATACCTGGCCTTGTTGTTGTTGTTGTTGTTGTTGTTGTTGTTGTTGTTGTTGTTGTTGTTTTAATGTTTGTGTTTTATAGCCCATCGACACAACCTAGATCATTATGGAGGCGGGCTTCCGATACTGCATATTAGGACCAACCAAGTCTAGGAGGAATACACATCCCAGTAAAATTGGCCCCACTCGGAAATTGAACTAGGGTCTCCTGTGAGTGACAACGAAACGCCTGGCCGCTACACTACAGGCCCCGGTCTTCTTGTTGTTACACTTGTACTTGTTGATGATGATGATGATGATGATTGTTGATGATGATGATGATGATGATGATGATGATGATGATGATGATGATGATGATGATGATGATGATGTTGTTGTTGCTACTGCTGCTGCTGCTGTTGCTATTTCTGCTGTTGTTGTCTTTACTTTTAGTTGCTGTTTTTGTAGCTATCATTGCTGTTGTTGATGATGATTTTTGTTTTATAGTTCCTCGCATTGTTGTTTTTGTTGCTGTAGTTTTGATTAAACCTTTGTTGATTCTGATTATTATAAATTTTAAAGCCTCTTAATCTCCAGCTTTACTGCCCGAATACTGTTAGTTGTCATGTGGTAATAGTTGCTGTTGCTGTTGCTGCTAGCGAAGTTGCGATCGATGGATAGCAGTCAACATGCCAGAGCTGCTACTGCTTTTTCTCATGCTGCTGCTGTTGCTAATGAAGATGATGGTGAGGAGGAGGAGGAGGAGGGGATAGCAGTCAACATGCCAG